AATGGGTGACTCTGGGCGGCTCACAATTAAGTTGTACATTCCTACAATTTATTTTTCCTTTGGTTTCTACAACACTTTTTGAATGCTCCCAAAATTGGACTAGCTCCAACTTTTTAATCTTTCCCTGTTGTTATCACTCATCAGCCAGCCTTTATCATAGAATGTTTGGCTTAATACTTTCTTCAGTGGTTCCAGAGTAGAACTGCCCTCCTCTTGAGTGACAGAGAAAGGCCTCCAGCAAAAATTGCACCAACTGAATGGGGGAACCTCTCAGCTTCCAACTCCTGATATCCCTGGTTGTCTCCCTGCCTACAGTGATTTAGTAATAATCTGTATAGTGCCATTGCCTTCGCTCTTTTACACAACATATAATTCGCTACTGCAAGATATGGTACAAGCTTGGCTGGCTTCAAAAAGGGGTTCGACTAATTCATGGAACTCATGGGGATCAGTGGCTATTAGCCTTGGTGGCAATGTGACTGCATCTGAAGGCCAACTGCTGGGAGGCTAGTAGACTTCCTTGTTCAGCTGGTTGATCACTATGAGAACAGATGCTGGACTAGATGGGCCACAGGTCCAAACCAGCAGGGCATTGCTTATGTTCTTATGTTATGTATTAATAAATTGGATTTTTTTCATGCTGTCTAAGGAAATTAGATGATTCATTACATTGTGATGGAAGAAAGGAATATTGTTGTTTTTCCATTACATTATATGAAATATCTGGCTGTAGTAAATAAAAAGCTTTATCCTGACAACAAGCTTGTAATATATATTTGGCATGAGAGAAAGTGACCGGTTTAAGTGACTCACAGAGTATCATGGCTATCTGGGGACTCCAACTTAGGTCCCCACCATTGTAACCCAGCAATTGAACTGCAGTGCCTCAGTGGTTTGTGTTTAAAATGATGATTGCATGCTTTGCTAACCCCTAATAATGATAGTAAAGAACAAAGAAAAGAAAGCCCAATGAACAGGAAAAAATATGTTTTATCTTGAATTAGTGTTCCAATGCTGAATCCTTGGAAGTGGGAAAAAATGTTGGAATGTTTTCAAAATATTTCAGCAATGTGATTAACCACAACACCTGTATGTTATATAGTGGTAAATGCAGCTCATTGGTTCTACAATGGTACAACAACTTTACCCATCTCTGAAGAAGACAGAACTCCCCGAAAAAGGATCAGTAAAACACTGAATATGACTACAAGTCCTGAGGAAAAACGCAAGATTATTGGTGACACTTTTGTGAAGGTACTTAATGTGTCCATTAGTATAGTCTATCTCTGGTTTTCAGAAATCTCAAGTGAATCTTTTCTTCAGTTTTTATGAGGAGAATATTAAATCGCAATTGTGTTGATGCTTTACAGTAATTTCCTTTTAGGAATGTATACTTGTACCAGCTAGCATACTGGCTAATTTGGTAATTTAGGTTTTGTATTAGTTCACAAATATTTTTGAAAACTGACCAAACTGACATAAACTTCCCTGCTCTGATGGAATACCGTATTTTTCCGACTATAAGACGATACTTTTTTCTAAAATCCTTACCCTAAAAACT